GGAGGAAAGCAAAGCGATGGGCTTGGGGAGGAACACGTTGGAACAGCGGCTGGATGGAGACAGGCTGTGTTTTATTTTGGGGTTTCTAGTTTGCTCGGCTGGCCCAGGAGATGGAAAATTAGATTTTCTATTTTGACTTTTCCTGAATGGGTCATCCTCCAAGGAGCTATGCAGGAGATGGATATGATACTCAAAGGCAAACCAGTCCTGGCAGGATACTGAACCATGCAGGCAAGGTGAAGGTAGATCATTTTATGTAGCCCTGCTTCTCATATCTGGCTCAGTCCTTTAACCTAAACATCAGTTGGGTTGCAGTAATAATCCAAAGAAATTCGTGTTTCTCACAGTGCAACAGCGTCCAGCTTAGAGATTTCAGTGGCCCTTCCATGCACAAAAGACTGCGGGAGTCTCCTCTCTGTCTTCTACTGGCTTAGTTGAGATCCATCGCTCTAAGAGCTCTTTTTCTCTGAACTGGCATAGCCCAAATGTATTAACCTCATCCTGAAGGCTCATTTCCCTCTTCGGACTATTTCTGGGTCTGGCTGAGGTGATGGGGTATTGTTCACATGGATCACCACATATTTATTAACTTTTATGGAGATCACTGGGGACTCCTTTGATGTCAACTCATCCATTGCAAGCCAAAGTAGGTCAGGCACAGAACTCCCTTTGCCTTTGATTTTAAACCAAATATGAAAAGCTGGCCTGACTACAGAGTAGGGCAACATATGCATCATTAAGTGCTCTGGAGCGAATTCTCCCTAGTGACAAATCAAGGTATAGCCGGTCACCTCGCTGACATAACAAGGAGCACATGGCAACGCACACATGAATTCTCCATGCACCACTTTTATTCTAGTCCCTGTCCAGGAGAGAGGGAATTCATAAGGAGCCTGTGAATTACTACTTCTTATGGCAGAGGCTATTTCTAGCACTTAATCCTGCGTTTCTTATAGATAGAACACAAGAGGCTGGGGGATGAAGGACTCTATGAGGGAATGTAATTTCAATTGACTAGAGCAGCTGGAACCCAAAGCAATGGAAGAGCCTTGAGGGAGCACAGGAGAGAAACTTTGGGACAAAGAAGAAAGGCAAAGTGGTGAAGGAGGTTATTCATCCCACGTTTGACTTAACTTATGCTTCAATACAATCTTCACTCACAACATGGTGGTCGGAGCATGCTGACTGCTCCGTGAGGGCTCAGCAAGAACCCTGATACATGCAGATGACTTGTACAAGGGTGAGAATGAAATGCAGCCTGCTTGCCCATAAATAGATTTGAGGGGTTTTTGTTTATGTTTTGTTCTGAAACTGCTTTGTACTCCAGCCTGGAATAACTCTTTTCTCCCACATTTCTCCTTCTTGGCTGGCTCAGATGTGCAGCCACCAGCTGTTTGGTAGGATTGTTCCTTCTCCTTGCTCCCTCCCCTCCAAATTCTTCAGGACATTATTTTCTTGAAGCTTTTCTCAATAAGAATTTAATCAAACAAAACAAAAACACAGGAACCCGCCGCTTCTTGGACAGTGTTTGAAGTGTAAATATGTAAAGAAGGAGTGTTTTGAAAATGCAATCAGCTGCCTCCTGGGGACTTGAGTCCTACAATGAGCCAAAGCGACTCCACAAGGGAGATATGTGCTCCTGCAAGATTAAATTCCAGCTGCAGTGGGAGCATGGGTGACCAGAGGCACAGCTAAGCCACTTCTTAAAGAGATATATTTTGAATAGCAGCACAATTCTCCTCCAGGCCAGGCAGCACTCGCATGTCTTCGTGTGCCTCCTTCCTGCATATTGTCAACCAGGTCCTCACCTCGGGGCGGCATTGCTGTCAGTTCCCTCCCTGCAGCTCTGGGAGTTATTTCCTCATTTTGCTCCTTCTTGGCTCTGTGGAGCTGAGACGATGGACACCTCTGCTCTCTGCAGATACTCATCACTTCTATGGCCACACAAAACTTTGGGGGGGAAATAGCCCCTAATATATTACTCATTACCATGGAGTGAAATACCTTGCACATACAGTGTACGCTTTATGTCAGAACTACTGTGATTGCTACCAATTACGTAGATGGGAGGTGACTCCAAGGAAAGCCTGCAGCAGTGCTGGTCTTCTACCAGGTCACGAGATACACTGCGTATAAGCTCCTGTCCTGCAGGGCTCAAGCAGGTGACTTCTTATCTTGTTCTTATTCTGCTTAAAGGGTTCTCTTCTGCTGCCTTTATTATTGAATAAAGCACACTGCAAAAATTAATATAGCGCAATTTGATGAATGAGTCCTGCTGCTATTTATACTTTGCTTGTGAACAACAATTCGCAACACTATTAACTTTTAACTTCCTCTGCACCTAGTTCAAATTCACAGTGCTGGGTTTGTCACAGCACTGACTGCCAGCTATGCTATCTGCGATGCTCAGGAACATTAACGATGCATTAGTTTGAAGACACTCACAGGAGAGGGGGCTGTGTGCTTACTTATAATTTCTTCAGTGCAGTGTCCCTTTGCAGCAAAAGAAAACATATTCAAATGACATTTATCGTCTCATTCAAAAGTCATTGAAATAATTTTCCATCTTCTAGTATAGGTAGTATAGATCAGAACTATGTGTTGGTCTCCTTCTGCACGTCTAAGTGTCTGCCGAAACTCCAAGCAATTTAATCTATTTAGGTGCAATACCAGGATATCAGTCATGACAACTGGAGATAAAGCGTCAGGTTATTTGTTGAGGAGTTAAGGGAAAAATTCAAATCTGTGTTCAGTTTGGAGCTTCAGAATTTTTTTTGAAAGTAAAGCAAATGATTCCCAGATCTGAAAAAGCAGTCCCTTTAACTACACACACAAGAAAAAAGGCACTTTGCTGCTGTTGGATAAGCTTCAAGAGCAAAATTTGCCTTTTTTGATCTCTACCCACATGCAACTCAGCAAAATGACCCTCTCCTTGGCTGAGGGCTTCACATACAGCAGGTCAGGTTAGTGCTGCAGAGAAGAGCCTGGCAGAGGCAAGAGAGATTCCTAGGTGTTTTGTGACAGTCCTGTCTACAGTCAAGGCAAATTCCCTCATTGTTTGCAGCCTTTAGCTTAAAAACAACGGCACTCTTCAGCAGATATTTTCCTTTGCTTGCTCTCATTTCTGGGATGACCTTCTTTTACCAGAAAAGACAGGCTTGCTGTTCATTTCTCACCTTCTCCAGTCAGTAACATTCCTGCAGCTGCTGGACTTTGCAGACTCTTGAGAAATGGTGGTTTTGCAATGAAAGAATTATTCCCGATTGAAGTCTCTGTTGGGCTGATCTCTCCGAAAGGCTAACAATGAGCACCACGCTAGGCATGCACGGTGTGTGAGAGACAGAATACCACATACTTGTACACACAATAAAGATGAAAGGCTTGTACCGTAGTTAATAGCATGGGACGGTTTAATCCTGAAATAGCATCTTGCTGATACAAACAACGCCTGTTTGTTTTTTATATGCCTATTTAGGGAATGGCTGCTCTTCAAGTAAACATTCTCTATTGCATACAAACACCAATATTTACCTTGACAAGATAGTTTATTATCATTCCTAATTTTCTCTTCCTTTGAACGTTTCCGTTCTCTTAACAAGACAGCAAAACCATTGTATGGATAAATAACCTCGAGTGAACAAATTACCGTAGCGTAACACATTCCTGTTCATCAGATGAGCTGCAGACCTTGGACAT